CATGCTAAAAAACTATCCCTGAACTGTGTTTCTTTTATCTCGTAGGAAGCGTTTGGTGTTCAGAGGTTGAACACCAGGTCTTCAGAGATTGAACTTCAGACAGGACAGGTGATAAAGACTCAGAGTAGCTTTGAAACATTTTTTCTGCTTTGTGAGTGCTAGGTTGAAATAACAAAGTTTAATTGACAGCTATTTTCAAAAATTATGTGTGTGATAACTCAGAAGTCTTAGTCAGATTTATCAGCAATGAGAATTTGGCAGATTAAGCTCAGATCTAAGACCAAACCTTCCTGTTTTTTGGTCTTTGCTACCTCTAAAAGTCATGACTTACAATTTCTCCTGTTCCATTTTTATTCTGAATTCTGTAGATTTTAGTTTGGAATTATTGTGGGGAGAGGCTGTGTTTTTCTTTGTAGGAATAATGCAATGTGCTTCCACTTAGGAATGTAACCTGAAATAGGTTTTGAGTGCATTGGTTTTAAGAGACCATTTATCAGCAAACCCGAGCACCACAGTAAGATACATAAAGCTTGAGCAACTGTAATTTCATAGCTTCTTTTAGATAGCTTATCACAATTGCTCTTACAAAATCGAATATTTTTTGTAAGGAATTACTTAAATACCATTATTTTAGTAAGTATTCTTGCATTTTGAAAGCGTTTAATATATACTTTTTGAGTGAACAGAAATAGGTACAAGTAATTAGTGGGTATTTTGTTCATGTTTGTCATAGCAGCATTGAAAATTATAGTCTTAGCACTCTAATAGCTGGGAGTATAGGAGTGGTCTTGATGGAAGAAATAATATCATGAATTTGTTTGTTGGGCTGACATTAAGACCATTCTCAAAGGCACCTGATTTATTGTATTCAACAGGATGCTTGGGTCTCAAGGATCTGCAGCAGAGCTGCAAAAGGCAGTGGTGAATACTGCTTTCTTGCTTCTTGGACTGTTCTTCCAGTAGTTTGAAAATGCAGCATGTCTTACATACTGAAGTGTAGGGCAAGGGTAGTGGAGGCTGCTTTCAAGAGAGTTCAAGAATATGGATATTCCCACTGCTTTGAAGGGAGAGGGCTGTTCAACAACTGGATCACTTTTATAGTTTAGTATTTTTTATCAACTTTGCTTTCACAGGTCATGTTTTACTGAAAGCCACTAGTCATGAGGCCAAGGAAGAGTAGGCAGCAATAATTTTAGTGGAAATTTTAGGCCTGATGTGATTGTCATCTAAGTAATATGAACACTCTGCTGGGGCTACTTGGAAGTGGAGATTTATTAGTGTATCTGAACTTTGTTCAGCCTCACATCCAAAGATACACAGCCTCATTTTTTCATATGTATAGCCTTTTATGTCAATTCTTGCAATAATGGAGCGCAGTATTGTACTTAATGTATTTGAAAATGCTTCAACCTCAGCTGAAGATTAATTAAGCATTTCAGAAAATGTACCCTTAAAAACTAGCAGTTTTACTTTCAAAGATTTTTTTGTTGTTTTTTTTTGGTTTGGTCCGTTTTTTGTTTTATGAGGATGAACCTGCTGATTCTTAAGCCGGTAGGGGTAAACAAGCATTACTTTTCATCATCTTGAGAAGTAGTTTTAAACAGAGAAACTGTGTCTTGTCTCTGATTCTGCAGGAGGCCAGATTGTTGAGTGAGCTGGAACAGAATTTAAGCCTTTATGCTATATGGTCTAGGAAGGACTAATATCACTGCCATTACATAATACATTGCCTTATAAAAATTTACTAGGACCTGTGTTTCTTCTGTGAAAGATATACATTAAGCTGCAGTAATGTCAGTGTGGTGGCTTGAACCTGACTGCAGAAAGAATCATCTATTAGCTTCTCAACAATGCATATATTGAATTCTCCTTCAGATATAGTCATTCTTGTAGAAGCCTGGCTGCACTTTCACATATTTCAGAATTCTGTAACGATAACTTTTCTGTGACTAAGCTGCTTCTCTTCCACTTAGTATGTATGTGCTTGTTACATAACTTACACGTTATATATTTTTAATTTTGACAGGACAGTTGTTTCTTTATTATCTAATACAATTTATCAAGCTTTTATTTACTACTTCTAGCCTCTAGTGGGAATTCATATGCCAAAATCTTTAGTGTTGAGATGATTCTTATCCTGCGTTATGGTGAAAACTACCTTAATATGGTAAGAGTAAGCAATCATTTCCCTGCTCAAAGCAAATTCTGGCATTGCATTATAGCATCTTCTGGTATAATCATACTGAAACAGCATTGGGAGTCTGTGCCAATCCTTTTTCCCTCTCTGAGAGCCTGGAAATGAATCTAGATCTCTTGTTCCGTAGCCATACTGATATTCCATGCTTGTCTGCTTCAGTGTGATGGAAAATAGATGTGATTTGAAGACTAAACTAACTTGTTCATATTGGTCTTACATACCATTGTGATAAATGCCTAGAGGAGGAAGGAAAAAGGGAAATAAATTCTCTATGCCCAGTCAGGATGGGTTTTCATTAAGCGCAGCACATGCCTGAACAGCTTTTTAAAACAATAATATACCTTATATGTAATAGGCTATAATTGCTTCAGGTTGCATTTCTAATTTTAAAGCTTGCTCATATGTATGTTGAAGACTCTTTAGTTGTATTGGGACTTTTAGCACATGATTTCCCATCTAAAGCCATACATCTCTTCTCCCAAGTAATAAGTAATAGGACAAGAGGTAACAGCCTCAAGCTGCACCAAGGGAGATTAAGATTGGATATTAGGAAAAATTTCTTCACAGACAGGGTGATCAGGTATTGGAACAGGCTTCCTCCCAGGGAAATGGTGGAATCACCATCCCTTGAAGTGTTCAGAAATCATGTAGATGCCGTCAGTGACATGGTTTATTGGTGGACTTGTCAGTCCTGGGGGAACAGTTGACTTGACGATCTTAAAGGTCTTTTCCAACCCAGCTGATTCAGTGCTTCTATGAAAACTGCATGCCAGGATGTCTTGGCTGGTAATTTTTATAACATCTTGATCCTGTATTCTACTTGAGTGTTGTCTCCTGTCATTACTGAAGTCACGATTCTGGAATGAGACAAAGGTGTTAAAAGCTATCCTTAAATTTTAAATATACAAAACTAGGTCTCTTTGCATATTTCACTAGTGGGGCAACTGAAAATTTTTTATACCTTAAAAAGGGATGGGCAGGTCCCAAGGTTTTAACTGCATTACTTGAAAAGGTACATTCTCCCAGGGCATGTGCATATTGAGGAAGAGTGCAATAGCTGCTACCATGTAGATACTTAAATAGCATGCCTGGCTTGGGTTCTTTTGACTTAAATGCAAAATGAAAATCTTTTCTGAAACTGCTGGCAGTAGGCAGCAATTTACCAATATATGAATGAGCAAGCCACAGCAGAAGAGAAAAGATATTCCCTGCAATGCTGAATATTATAATTATGTTTAGATTAATACCAAAGGAGAGACTAAATCTTTTCAAACTGAGAAATACGAACTTTTTTGCTGTTTTTTGAAGCATATAGTGGGGTGGAATTTCAGCACTGGTGGAGTCAGGGTAGTGGTTGGTGTAAATCAGTTAAAACATTTTACATAGGAGATGGAAATTTCTTATTTAAAAGTAAGATAATTTGAAGGCAAATTTTTCCATGCAAATCCTGTCCTGAGGAAAGAAATTACTGCAAGAATGAGACATATTCATGTACAGCATTGTGTTTGAAAGATACGACAGTACCTTTCCATTTATGGCTTTGGCAATGCTGGGGAATGGTTGAACTTGATGATCTTAAAGGTCTTTTCCAACCTAGTTTATTCTATGATTCTGTATTGTGGAAATGATGGTTTTGATATTTTTGCAAAAATAATAAAAAAATTATTAGTAACTTATGATCACTGTGTTTGCCTGTGATGGCTTTATATAATCACGATAAAGTACTGATAGTGGGACTTGGAGTTCAAGTTCCTGATACAATCCCCAAGGAAAAAAGAAACTGAATGTGCTTGGCCTGTGGCCAGATAACCCCCCTAATGTTTAGTCAGGAAAGTTGTCAGCAGATTTAAGTTCAGCCTTCTTGGTGGCCAAAGATGCACATTAAAAAGATGCAGAGGAGACAGAGGAATATGTGATAGAGACTTCCTGTGACATGTGTGTGACCTCTACCACTGGCAGTAGCTTGCTGTTTTATGGTCTTCTTACATGAGGCAGCTAGCAGCTGGTTTCCATTGTGCTGTCATAAATGCAAGCACAAGGAGACGCTATCTCTACACTGAGACAATACTGTGAGCTAACCAAGAACATGAATTTGCAGCATGCTAACTATTTCACAGCAGTTCCCTGTACAGTTTTTTTGGTACAAATATTATTTTGTCCTCATTTTGTGTCAAGTAGGTATGAAGTAGTTGATTCCATATTCAAAATGTCATTGCAAGAGAGTAATGCGAATAAACTAATGGTGGAGAATATTCATATGCAGTCCTTAGTAATAACTTGGTTACTGCTTAGTTACTGCTAAGTAAAAGTTAGCAGTAACTTTTCCTTGAAAATGAGCTTTTTTATTTTTGTTTTAGAAGAGTAACTAAGCCCTTTTTATAGAAGAACTTTTCTGATCACATTATAGTTATTTATGATCAAGAATTGCATTGATTAGCCCTGGTGGACATAATTAGTTACAGCCTAGGGATGACTACAGTTCCTGTGCTTTTGGCATATAGGAATCAGACTGTAGAAATATTGAAGCACTGCTTTCGTGTGCCTTTATAGATTTGTCGGTTGATGGACATCAATTAATTCATTCCTTTTTTTAAAAAAGCACATCAACCTACAAATATGAACATGGCAAATTGTATAGAGTGACTGAGGAAGTTGTCAGCAAGAAGATACTTTTGATGCAGTATCCAACATCTGAACATAGTAAAACTGGGGTTTTTTGTTTGTTTGCCAGAAATTTCTGCAGTGTAATTTCGTAACTACTTTTCAGAAAAGTTAATGTCATATCTGTGTTTTTAATTTGTAGGTACATTGAAACCTTGAAGGAGCACAAACCAAAAATTGTCTGGGATGAACAAATTGCTGAACACTACTTTGAATACAAAAAGTGAGTTACATTTATTAACTTACTATTCTGCAAATATTTTTGGGCATGGCCCAGTACACAGTAAAGTAATTATAATGTGCAGCTAAATTCAGCAAATAGAAATTCTGATGTTTTTAATCTGTACATTAACACTGAACTACAGCAGAAAATAGTGCTTCAGGCTAGAGAAGTATATCAGAAAAGAATTAATGAAATAACATAAGCTAAAGCAGCCTTTAGAAGAGAAGTCTGAGTCATATCTTTAGAAATTATCCATCAAAGTTATCTGCTGAGTGTCAGTTAATCAGAGGCTCTGAAATTACTATTGTGAGCTGTTGGGTGATTACCAAAACTAGACAAAAATAGTTTTGAGAAAAATCTGTGATACAGGAGCCTGGTTTTACAAGTGCTAGTGGTAAGATTGGTCAAGCAACAGACTTCAACTAAATGGAATGGACTGTAGAGAAGTATAATGCAAATGCTATCAAGTGACTTCCCGATAAAGTTTTAAAAGTGCTGAGGTCACGAAGGAAAAGAAAATTAATTTTTGTCCTCCCTTTTTCATCATGAAATGACAAGAGGATTCCTGATACTAGGAGGTTTCCATTTAAAAAATATTTAAAAAAAAACCCAGCAACCTCTTAGCCTCTGGTAATTTCCAATTTTCTTATGCAAATATACAAAAATAAGGTAATCCTACTACTTCTACAAAACTTTCATATTTCTCAGTGCATGGGTAATGTGAAGACACACCACTGAAAACAGGAGTAGAACACATTTTAGGGTGCTTTAAGAAAAAATAAAAGAATTATTCTCAATATACCTTTTGGTTTAAATATTTTTAAAAATGAAAAAATAAACATACACAAAAAAAAAACCACCAAACCTAAGATGTCCTACTTCTATATTCTTATTTTAGTTTTCAAGGTTTCTCTCAGTCTATAATCTTCTCCTGCCTTCTGAGCAACACTCATTTCATCATTTCTCAGGGAAAAAAAAATAGATTACCTGCTTGTCAGTGGTGTTTTAGTTTCTTTTCTGTGTTTGTATGAAAGGACTGGGATCTGTATTCCTTCATATTTAATTCTTTGGTATCCTCTTGAAAAATCACTTTGTGCCAAGCAATTCCAAAGTTTTTTGAGTTAACTGAAGAGGAGTAAATTATAAGGTTTGTTTTATTGGTCTTCAATGCACTGTCCAGTTGGAGACACAGTGACCACCAAATGAAAACGTGCTCTCAAAATAGTAAACATGAGGGCTCTGTATGACTGGCATATTTCTCGGATTCATTTCTGAAACACATTTCCTAAACATCTCCTTGCAACTGAACATGTGGGAAGTGGACAGCTTGTCGGTAGTACTACGTTGTTTGCCTTTGAAAGCTAGTCTTTAGAGATTCTTGGTTTTGGACATCATGGAGGAATTTTGATGTATAAAGCACACTGGGTCTGAAAATCACTCTCAACTTCAGTTGCTGTGCTATGCTTGGCAGGCAGCCATGTGGCTCAGCATGTCTGCAGTGGTTCAGTTGGCTGCACGGGAGGGTTATTTAAGGGAACTCTTCAGTTGCCACTTTAGTTTGCAAAGGTTCAGTTACATTGGATGGGGATGGCAGTCAGGCCTGAAATACGTTTCACTGGACAAGTATCATACATGAAAATCGTTGCTAAGAAATCAAAACGTGAATCTTTCAGAAAAGCACAGCTGATTATTTTTATATAGCAGGGAGAGACCATTACCAAGAGTTACAGAAATCTCTTGTCTCTGATGCTTGTCTCAGTGTACATTACAGATAAGTATGCATTTATGTAAGTAAGTTGAAAGATTTTAGAGTCATAGAATCATAGAATAGCTAGGGTTGGAAAGGACCTTAGGATCATCTAGTTCCAACCCCCCTGCCATGGACATGGACACCTCACACTAAACAATGTCACCTAAGGCTCTGTCCAACCTGGCCTTGAACACCACCAGGGATGGAGCATTCACAACTTCCCTGGGCAACCCATTCCAGTGCCTCACCACCCTCACAGTAAAGAACTTCTTCCTTATATCCAATCTAAACTTCCCCTGTTTAAGTTTTAACCCGTTACCCCTTGTCCTATCACTACAGTCCCTAATGAAGAGTCTCTCCCCAGCATCGTTATAAGCCCCCTTCAGATGCTGGAAGGCTGCTATGAGGTCTCCACGCAGCCTTCTCTTCTCCAGGCTGAACAGCTCCAACTTTCTCAGCCTGTCTTCATACAGGAGGTGCTCCAGTCCCCTGATCATCCTTGTGGCCCTCCTCTGGACTTGTTCCAACAGTTCCATGTCCTTTTTATGTTGAGGACACCAGAACTGCACACAGTACTCCAAGTGAGGTCTCACGAGAGCAGAGTAGAGGGGCAGGATCACCTCCTTCGACCTGCTGGTCATGCTCCTTTTGATGCAGCCCAGGATATGGTTGGCTTTCTGGGCTGTGAGCGCACACTGCCTGCTCATGTTCATTTTGTTATCCACCAACACCCCCAAGTCCTTCTGTGCAGGGCTGCTCTGAATCTCTTCTCTGCCCAGCCTGTAGCTGTGCCTGGGATTGCTCCAACCCAGGTGTAGGACCTTGCACTTGGCATGGTTAAACTTCATAAGGTTGGCATCAGCCCACCTCACAAGTGTGTCAAGGTCCCTCTCAATAGCATTCCTTCCCTCCAGCGTATCAACCGAACCACACAGCTTGGTGTCATCGGCAAACTTGCTGAGGGCGCACTCAATCCCACTGTCCATGTCAGCAACAAAGATGTTGAACAAGACCAGTCCCAACACCAATCCCTGAGGGACACCACTTGTTACTGGTCTCCAGCCGGACATTGAGCCACTGACCATAACTTTTTGTGTGCAGCCATCCAGCCAGGTCTTTATCCACCGAGTGGTCCATCCATCAAATTGATGTCTCTCCAATTTAGAGACAAGGATGTCGTGTGGGACAGTGTCGAATGCTTTGCACAAGTCCAAGTAGATAACATCAACTGCTCTACCCCTGTCCATCAGTTCTGTAGCCCCATCATAGAAGGCCACCAAATTGGTCAGGCAGGATTTCCCCTTAGTGAAGCCATGCTGGCTGTCACCAAGCACCTTGTTGTTTTTCATGTGCCTTAGCATGCCTTCCAGGAGAATCTGCTCAAAAATTTTGCCAGGCACAGAGGTGAGGCTGACTGGTCTGTAATTCCCCAGGTCATCCATTTTCCCCTTCTTGAAAATGGGGGTTATATTTCCCTTTCTCCAGTCATCGGGAACTTCACCTGACTGCCATGATTTCTCAAATATGATGGCCAGTGGCTTAGCAACTTCATTTGCCAGCTCCTTCAGGACCCACGGTTGGATCTCATCAGGTCCCATGGACCTGTGCACGTTCAGGTTATTGAGATGGTCTCGAAACAGATCCTCTCCTACAGTGGGCCCAAGGTCTTCATTCTCACAGTCCCTGTGTCTTCCTTCCAAGACCTGGGTGGTCAGAGCCTTTGCCAGTGAAGTCTTGAGGCAAAGAAGTCATTCAGAACCTCAGCCTTCTCCAAATCCAGGGTAGCCAGTTCTCCTGATAGCATCCGGAGAATGCCCGCGTCATCCCTAGTCTGTCTTTTATTTGCAATGTAATTATAGAATCTTTTCCTGTTATCTTTCACATTCCTAGCCAAGTTCTAATTCTAACTGAGCCTTAGCTTTCCTAACCTGGTCCCTAGCTTTCCAGACAGCATCCCTGTACTCTTCCCAGGCAGCCTGTCCTTGCTTCCACCTTTTATAAGCCTCTTTTTTTCTTCGAAGTTTTCTCAGCATCTCCTTATCCATCCAAGGAGGTCTCCTGTCCCTCCTGCTGCACTTCATTCTAGTTGAGGTACAACACTCCTGTGCTTGTAGCAGGTGATCTTTGAATATCAGCCAACAGTCTTGAGCCGCCCTGCCTTCTAGGGCTATATCCCATGGAACCTTACTAAGCAGGTTCCTGAAGAGGCCAGAGTCACTGAATTGCTCAAATTTAGGAGCAATTCCTACTTGGTCTGTCTATGTACTCTTCATTTCCTCTGATCTTAACTGGTTAAGTGGTGCTGTAAGATCACTTGTAACTCATCCTCCTCATTATTAGGGATTTAAAATCCAGTCTTGGTATTTGTGCCCAATATAGCTTCCCCTGTCTGTATATTTTATACTGCCAGCATTTAATTTAACCTGAAAGATAGTAATTTGGGAATTGGGGAAAATCTTCCACAGTTCTGACAACCAAATGTCTTCATCCTTTTTAGATGCACATTTATTAGACGCAACTGTCTTTCACTGTCTGACAGTTTTATAATCACACAGTGACAGAATAGTTTGGGTTGGAAGGGATCATTAAAGGTCCAACCCCCCCCTGCAACAAGCAGGGACATCTTCAACTACAGCAGGTTGTTCAGAGCCCCATCCAACCTGACCTGGAATGTTTCTAGGAGTGGGATATCTACCACTTCTCTAAGAATCCCAGTAGCAACAAGGTATTGCAGTGTGTTTGCTTATATCTAGTATCAAACCATCTCTGTTGTGAGATCTCTTCTTGCATCCTCTATTTTCAGTATCAGCCTTTTCACCTCTTTTAAGAGTTGCCCTCCTTAAAGGCCAATAGTATGGGGTAGACAATTAACTTGTCTGACTCTGCCTATGTTGTATGTTGTTGTGACCAGTTCTTGGATAAAGTGTTATGCCCAAAGAAGTTTGGGACGTTCGTCTTAATCTTACCTGATTTCTTCCTAAACTTTGTGTTAGTTATTAGGAAACTGTGCTCTGTTCTTTTGATGTTTTGAAAGGCCTTAAGCCTTTTAAGGAGTTCTTTAGATAACCAGAGATTTTTCTTGTTTTAAGTGTGGCATCATGCAGTTGCTATCCAAAGACTCCTCTAGCAGATCTTTGACTCAATACAGTCATGCTTTGAACTTCTAACTTTCCAGCTCCTAGAATTCTCAAAGCCCATTTAAATAGGATGATTTTCTCAGGATGACCTTTCTGACAAATACTCCTGTAACTGATACTTGCAGCACAGTGGCACAGTTGCATACTTGACCTTTAAATATGTTGTGTACATTCTCACATCTGACAACCAAATATCTTCATTTTTTTCAGATACACATTTAATAGGCACAACTGTCTTACTATCTGTCCATCACTTTGGCTTTATGTGCTGTGATATGTTTGTATCTAGAGTAGAAAAATGGCAGGAGTAGAAGTTCATATCTACAGTAGAAAAGGAAGGGAAGTAAAGAAGATTTTGGGCCTACCCTGCCCTCAGTAGATAGAGGTTAATGGAAACAATGATTTCAGAGACAGAGTGCCTCAGCTTCTAGAGCAAAATGAGCACTGGGTAAGAAATCTCAAAGAGATGAGCTACTAAATGGCAAGTAATCTCTATCTTTGATATGGGCATATTCATGCTCATATGCTGAGCATACTAGCATATCTTATTTTCAGTAGCAGTAACTTCTGCAAAATAAAATTGGCAGATTTCTTCAGCTCCATCTGTGTTGCCTCTTAGAGGAAAGGAATAAAGCTGGTTTTGAATTCTAACCTCAGGTGAAAATCCTGCAGGAATCAATCAAAGTTTTCCTGTTTTTCAGGAATAAAGGAGGAAAACATGCTGTCTTCTACCCAACACTGAAAGTAAGTGCCACTTTTTCATGTTAGAGGGCTCTAAGAAGAAAGAAATGTTTACTTGACTTGTTGCATTATTGAGAAATTCCAGAAAATGTTGAACTTCTGTGAAAGAAGTTTACCCTCATGTAGTTGTTGTGATTCAAAGATTCAGCTGCCTGTACAAGAAGATTTTCTTTTTTTCTATCATCTCACACATAGTGGGGGTTTGGGGTCTTTAAAGATAAGCCATGTCTAGAGAAAAGACACAGCAGGACAAACTAGTGCTGTTCAAGTGCATCTGTTCAAGTGCACAGTTCAAGTGCTAACAGACATACTCATTGTCAGACAAGAGACTGAAGAAATTCTCCTTCTGATCATGTTGGATCGAAGACTGGGGAACTTTTGCCTTCCTCTGTAATGGAGTCCAGTTGTGGTTTAAGCCCAGCTAGCAACTGAGAACCACGCAGCCGCTCTCTCACTCCTCCTCCACCTTCCTCCCCCCACTGCCAGAGGGATGGGGAGGGGAATTGAAAGAATGTAATTCCCACAGGTTGAGATGAGAACAGACCAGTAACTAAGGTATAACACAAAACGACTACTGCTGCAACCACCAATAAGAACCATGATAAGGGCAATAACAAGGGAAGAGAATACAACCACTCACCAGCCACTGACCGATACCCAGCCCGACCGAGCAGTGACCTAGCCCTTCCAGGTAACTGCCCCCAGTTTTACATCCTGGGCATGACGTGCTGTGGTATGGAATACCTCTTTGGCTAGTTTGGGTCAGGTGTCCTGTCTCTGCTTCCTCCCGGCTTCTCCTCCTCCCTGGCAGAGCATGAGACTCAGAAAGTCCTTGGTCAGAGTAAACATAACTGAGCAGCAACTAAAAATATCAGTGTTATCAGCGTTGTTCCCAGGATGAAAGTCAAAAGCACAGCACTGCACCAGCTACTAAGAGAAAAATGACTGCTACTGCAGAACCCAGGACAAGTCCTAATTCTTCCTGTCAGCCTGCATCACCGTGATTCTTTGGAATGTATTTTAGTGTTTTGAAAACTTAAGCATTTGGCCTTACTAAAGTCCTTTGGCAGGACGTATCATTTCTGTCTATCCAATATCTACAATATACCACAATACAGGATAAATTGGTCACTTACAGACTTAGTTCCTAGAAGAGATCTTTAAATTTTCTCAAATAAGCTAAGGCAGTATGTTAAGTCTCTGCTGGCTTTTAATGCTGGAAGGGAAGTGCTTCTGTAGTGAAAGTATATCATATTTACAGAGAACAGACACATTTTGTATGGCTAAACTAGTGTGAAATGGTCCAAAACTCTGTTTTTCTGAACAGGATTATTATCTAGTACAAGGATATTTCCCTTCATTAATCTAATATTGGTGGAAGTACTAGCACATATGGGATATTAATTACCATATTTAACTATGTTCTTGCTAGTAGGAGCTGTCTTACAGTGTTAGAAAATTTTATTGTGAACCTGTCAGAGAGAAGAGATAGTGCTGCATGTTGTTGTGCTACATGCTTTTTGGCCTTGTGGAAAGATTTCAGTCTGCTATTGTCAGTGTGAACCAGGTTAAGAACCACTCATTCCTATACATTTTTTTCACTGCTTCTTCTCTAGCAGATACTCAACTGTGGAGGCTGGTGAATTTATGGAAACTGGTTTTCTTTCTGATTTCAGTAGCTTGTAATGAAATATTTTGAGATTTGTATGCTGGGACAAATCAAAGAATTGTTTATGTAATAACAAGCAAGATGATCAGGGAACACTTAGTTTTATTGCCCAGGACAAGTGTGTTTCTTGCCCTTTTTAATGTTATAATCACTGGCAGGTTGCTCAGAATTGCTTTGTTCAGGATTAGTTAAAAGTAGTCATGAACACCAGGCTCAATGGCTCTGTTGATGATGCCTTGATACTTTGTTCTGTTTTCTGTGGAAATGAGTTTTAAACATATCCCTGGCAAGATCAGTTTAAACATTGAAGTGTTGCACTTCAAAGTAAGGAAACGTGAAAGTAAAAGATGGAAAAATATTTTTCTTGTATATGAACTGGAGGAAGTGCAGAACATGAGTTGTGGTATTGCTTCCCTTGGAAACCAGTGGCTAAACTAAATGGCTGGAGCTCAAATAGGGATACTTATAGATATTAATCTCCGAGAATCTCTTTAAAATAGAGTTGTGTTAGTGAAAATGATGACTAGGTCATGGGTGAAGGCAAGGGTAGGTAAGAGATCTTGATGGTATTTGACAAGTTGTTCTAATTGTTTTCAGTGATAAAGTTTTATTTTACCCCTGAGACCTTTCTGGGAAGAGTTAGAATTTCTGTACCTTGTGAAATGATAGCTTAAATTAGAATAGTGCATTGCATAGTTCATAAATCTGATTTATTTCTGTGGCATTTTGTCTGTTTAGTTGGTTATCTTTTATTAGGTCATTGAATTGACTGGTGCAGTTAACTGCCTCTTACTGAATGATTGCTTGCTAACCAGAGAGTATTTGAAATACCGACTAGGTTATCTATCTAGGATAGATGTTTTTTATGGCATGAAGAGATGGCAGCACAGTGTCTAATGTCTCTGACTAAAAGGTAATTGCTTTATGTGTCTTTGTCTTAGTCCATCCAGTTGCGCTTAGAACTTGCAAAGGAATTGGGCACTGGAATATCCATCTGGGAAATGGGACAAGGCCTGGACTATTTTTATGACCTGCTTTAAAATAAGAGATGATCTGGGAAAGACTTTATTTGCTTTACTGAGACTCCACATCAATTAATTTGGATAGCCTGGAGAGGTAATTTTTAAAACATTTTTTGTAATTTATATTGCATCTGTATTAAACTTGCATTTTTCCCAATAAAGAACCTTTTATGATTTGCCACACAGACGTGATTATTGGTATCTTATAAAATGAAAGGCAAACCAAACCAAAACAGACATTTTTTTTTCAAAGTTTCTGAATTCAGTCATTAAAACCAACAGCTGGGATGGCATCTGAGTTGAAAGTATTTTCCAAAATGTTTTCTACAAGAAATAAAATGGACTAGTTGTTGCCATCTGATTATAGTTTAAGAAACAGACCTGTCAAACAATTGCGGGTAATAACCAAAGTAAGTGAACAAATAAGTCCATCAAATTATGTCCAGCAAATTTAATATCTGCTGGACCCTCTGCTGTCTTCTGATAAGGTAAGTCAGTGTTAAATGTTGAGGAGGAAACTAGTTAGCTGGTAGAAAATCAAGCACTGACAAATGAAGCTGTTAGCTCTTTTTGTTTTTTTCATGTTAGTTAATTCCTTATGTACTTCAAAGTCACAGTAATTTTTATTTATGACTTGTTTCTAAATCAGTTTTGTTACAAGAGATGCTCTGTGATTTCTTTCTTCTGTTTAACCTGCTTAGTGTCTCCATTTACACTGTTTAGGCTAGCGCATGATGCATTAGTGGGCAATACGGGAACTGTAACGTTTAGCACCAAAGGCTATGATGGTAATGCTGAATTACATGGATAGACCCAGTATACAGCACCCTAGAGCTACTTTGACGGTCCTTGGCTTAAGTAGGTACTGTGACTGTGATCAGCATCTGTGTACATGAAGCCGTCATTCTTCAGCTGTACACATTGATGCCTTTGTCTCCATAATACAGAATTTTTATGAACCCAAAGGCTGTAACAACACATCAGTTTAAAAACAAAGCAAAAAATTGTGTTCCTGCTTTTTGGTTTACAATATTTATGTTTGTAGAAATGCACAGGCTTCAAGGCAGTTTCTTCTAAGGATCTAAGGGGTGCTGGGAATTTGATGAGGATGTCGTTGGTCACCAGCAGAGACTCAGGCAGTAGCTCTGTATTCCCACTGATGTTCTTCTTGACACTCACAGTTGTCACAAAGATAACTGCACTCCTCTGTTTGCATCCACCCTTCCCAGTAATTAATCTCAGTGGGCAATTTATCTGCCCCTGCTGTTTTCAGCAGAATAAATCCCACTGTAATCCACCATTGATTAAAGAACTATTGATCTTCACCTCTCTGATTTAGTTCTGGCATCTCTCAACCTCTCACATTGCAAATATCCAGCAGGGTTTACTAATCAGGCTTCTTTCTTCCATACCATTAATAGGAAGATAATTTGCTACATGAATTCTTGTGTTCAATTAACTTGCGTTTTTTAGTTTTTTCAAAAGCATTTTAAAGTCACTCTGGCAATGGTATCTAGAATAGCACAAGAATTACATTCTATTACACTGCTTTTTGTACTTTCAGTGGCACTACTGAACCAGAATGCCTCAGGAAATGTCTGTAAGGAATGGAATGGCTTGTGATCTGAAATAGCATCCATTTTTATATTAGCTAGTAGGTAGCTTTCAAACAGGATATGGAGGAAGAAAAGAATATTTCATTTTAGCTTCTTGTTTCCTCTCTAGAAATGATACGTGTAATTTATCACAGTTTTCATGACTTTTATATATTCTGTGATGATTCTCTTTGATGTTGAAGATTCTTGTTTGTTTGTGAGTACAGCTATGTTAGAAAGAAGTGTTGTTTCCATCCTTATAGAGTGAATACCTGTGTGTCAAAAAGATCATACTCATCCTTGCTGTATCATGAAAAATCAGATGAGAAGTACGTTGTGATTTTGAGCCAACCATAATATATAGGTGCTTGAGGTCAGTGATGTTGACCTCACCAGCGAGCCATCATGAAGAAATGTTTCTTTTGAAATTTGCACCTCACTTGCATGTAAGAAATGACATGGGACAGAGATGCTGGTGTGAAAGTAGGTTCTGCAGAGCATCTGTTTTTATGGCTTTTCCTCAGACAAGTGAGGAAGACTGAGCAAAGGGCAGAAGATGGGTAGGAGAGCAGGAATACGACTTCTGTAAGGACCATGGCAGTTGGCTTTCATTCCCTCAGTTCAAAAAGAGTAGAAAGCACTGGTTTACAATGCAAAGAAACATTTTTCTGTAAAGCAAAAAAAAGTATGTGTGTTCTCCCATAGAAGCAAGTACTTTTTAAATGTACTGCCAGGTACATGACAGGGCAAGACCAAAGATATTGCACTTAAAAAATTGAGGGTATGGGTGGGGAGAATTATCTAGTGTTCATATTAAAACAGTTTACATCTAGCATAGGAAGCAGTGAAAATGAAGTGTGTTTATTTCAACAGAATATTTAATCATTCAGTTTTCTAAGATATTTAAGAAAACAAAACAAAACAAAAAAGCTGTGCTCTATAATCTTGTTCAGTTGCAATAAAAGTTTCTGTATATTAGGGTAAGATTTCAGTGCTGTGAATGTAAAGGTGTCTTTTAGCTACCTGATGCCAAGCAGAGCCATCTTCCAACTGACCTTTGCTCTTGTGTTTCCCCATGTTTTACTGTTTTGGGTTAGACTTACGCAGCATTAAGATAAATGCATTTTTCTGCAGAAATTTTATTGCATTCACTGAGAAAAAGAAATAGCTGATTTTGTTGCAGCTGACTTCAATATGAAGCTAGTGTTTTTATCAGTTATCACACACATGATTTTAATGGGTAGCAAAGTGTTTCTTGTATCTGTATACAACCAAGTATCTTATTGAGACAGAAAAAGAGACTACTTGCATGGACCATCTCCAGGACAACAGTATTGCATCTTATCTCAGGAATGATGTATCTTGTGGTAAGTGTATCTGTCTTGAAAACTGGAGCTGTCATAGAGTCCTTGTAATCAGAAACAGTTTTGAAAGAGAATTGTGGAAAATAAATTGTTTAGCTTGTCTCATTGTGAGATGCTACTTCTTTAAGGAAAATTGCTTCAGTACCTTGTTTTGTGATTCTTTTTTGCTATCATAGGTAGGTGCCAAACTCCAGAATCAACTGTAGCTTGCAGGTAAGAAGGTTGGGAGTAAAGAGTAGAGGTGGGGTAGACTGAAGGATGACAATAGGAAAACAGCTTCTTTAACAACTTCTTAGTTATAAAGTATTGCTGAACAAGTTGTAAAAACTTAGTGTTGTTTATGTGCTTGGGTGAAAATTTCTATTTCTACTAAGAGCTACTAGTGGTAATTATTTTTATGAGTGGGGATGGTGGGATGGTATTTTTTGCATACTTCACTGTGGAGATTGCAAAGTTAATGGATGTTCATAGGAACTGTAATTACAGACTCTCCTAAATTTGGGACATGTCTTTTGACGTTTACTATTTTGATTAATACACATTGCAGCTGTTTACTTCAGTTAAACAAATGGCAGCAAAAAAGCAGATGGATTCTGTCTCTGCAGCTTGACGAGGTCGTATGTTGCTATTTTCTGAAAATACTACTCCCTCAGTGATCTCTTTTTTATGTAGTAAGTGCAAATTAACTAAGCCTGAATTGGTGTTTTGCAGTCTACCAGAAAAAACCTTTGATACTCTGTGTGTGGAAATTGTTATCTTCTCTTTGGAAAAATAATATCTTTTATATGAAAAATAATTGAAATAGAATTTGATGAACACCGCTTATTCAGAAAGTTGCAAAATAAATAAAACCACTTATCTTGTTAGCATTTGAGCTTACAAGCTGAAATGTGCCTTAAAAATGTTATTTTGCAAAAAGGTGGAGGAATGAAATCTAAGACTCAAAATTGAAAACAATTAGAAATTTTACATTCCTACTTATATCAGTTACCTTTTCTGAATACATTTTGATGCTTATTTGGTTACAATGTAACTTAAAAATGTATTTCAAAAATACTGTAGAAAACCTGTATGGCATTTTCATAGAAACAAAATCAATGTTTATTACAAGCTCTTAATGAAATAGGCTCTTACTCTGACTTCCAACACATTAGAACCAATTCTCCACTCAGCTGCTGAGAGCAAAGCAGAGCAGCACTTTTGAATTAACTTCATGTGGCACATAATTACCATATTTCATGTTCAGTGTATATAAAGAGTATATTGACTTTCTAGAGACTTCCTAACTCTCCTGACTTCGTTTACTAGTTGCAGCAGACGTCCACTTAATGGCAGAAGGGCGCAGACCCTCCAGTTTCTAGATTGCATGCCATGTGGGGTTTGTGTGATTTGCTGTAAGGCTTGCTGGATTGTTGCATTTTTCTTCAAATCCAGTCACAAGTTTCTGGAGCAGGGCTATCTGGTGTTCCAGCTCTGACATCTTTTTCTGTGAAGTTCCTGTTGCGTGTAAGGCTGCAGCAGGGATTACCTGAGCGATATACCTCACCTTCCTCAAAGGTCACTACATATGGAATAGAAGTCAGAAGATTATGGTGTTTCACTATTTTCCTCCAGTATGTAATGTCAGTAGGTTATGGTTACCTCTGCTGCTCATCCTACTCAAAAAGGTAAGATTGAATTTTGCTTTCTTGTGTTTACTGCATGCATTTTCAAGCTTTGAAGTAACTAAAAAAAAACAACAAAAAACACTTGCAGACATTGCCAGTTTTCACTAAACAGTACTTTTCTGTTCTTGCTTACGATCTGCATTTAGGAGTGGCATACATACACCTTTTATTATTTTCAGTGAGTTTTCTTCAAGTGCACCAGCAGAGAGCATTTCCCTGCCCTGTGCTGTCTTTGCTTGCAGTTGTGGAGGACAGGACTGTAACTAAAAATAGCAGTCCAATGTAGGAAGTTATTTAGGACTGTGTATATCCATTTTCACCTAATCTTTAATGTTTCTTCTCTGTTTTTTTTAGGTGAACTCATGCGGGACAGAAAAATTAAGCTGCCATAGATAATTTGACTATTTAATATTATATAACCATGCTTGCAACCCTTTTGTGTTTTCCTTTGCTTCTTTTAGGGGCTGAACAACGCAAATGGTGTTGAGCAGACATGTTTGTATATCATGAGTAGATAAAAGCGCAGCAGTAGCAGCATCAGCATTCTTGTGCTGTGGAAGTTAAGGAAGAGATGCCTGGGGGTGTTGTGTGACCATACTGTGAGAGTGAAGGAGAGAGTAATTTATATCATTTGTAAAGCTGGTTCCCTAGTCCCTAGAGTTACTACAGTGATATTGCAGTAGGGTCACAAAGCTCAGCTCTGTTCATACAGCTACCTCTGGGCTGATTTCCCCCTTGTATATAGGTGCTGTTTCAGTTCCTGAGCTTTTGTGTAAAACAAGCAGTCATGTTATTTTTGCTCTGCTATTTCATGTCCTAATGTGAAAAACCTCTGTTCCTTCTAAAAAACAAATTTTTTTAACTTTTTTTCTCTCATTAAAACCACGTATTAAATCTGGAGAAGTGAAAGCCAAAGTACCTTTGTTTTTTTTGAGTTGGCCTTAGTGGTGAACCAGGGAGAGGTGTTTGGAATAACTAATGCAAACTGGTTCTGCATAAATGGCAAGCACCCCTCTTTGCAAATACATTGTCTTGTGTGTTGCAACTGTAAATGCAACTTAAAATCAATTTGTCTTTTTTGAGTCTGGCTAGCTTGCTGGTATCATTAGCTGGAATGAACATTGGAAAGTGTTTTATTTAAAAATGCCTTTAGAAATGTTTTATTCAATGATGCCTTTAGCACTAAATGGCTGGCTGTTATATCAGGCCTTACGTACCACTTCTGCTTTTTAACTCAGAACTGTTAAAATCTAAGTGTTTTTGTTTTAGGTGGATTTTCAGTGTCAAACAGTGAGCCAGGATTTTAAATTCCATCTAATTCCTCCGTTCTTCATTCACATCAACCCTAAAATTGTGGTTGCTGCAAGGATGCAGTTGCATGCAGGAGACTGGCTGAGCTCATCCCTTGAAAGACTGGTTTAGAAGCTTACTAATTACTTTGAAGCACTGCGGGTTAAATTATATCTTTAGTATTCATTTTAGGATTTGTGATTACTGCCTTTGCTACAAGAGGAAACAGGCAATAAGCTTTTAAGTTTTAACTGAACCAGATTTTTTTCAGTTGTTTTAATAAGAGAGTTTAAAAAATACATAAATAAAGTTTCAGGGAGAAAATTCATCATCTCTGGAATGAAGACTTTCCTATTCTCTGTAATGTAGAGTGCTTTTGTGGTTTAAGCCCACTCAGGCACACAGCTCACTCGCCCCCCCCACTCCCTCCTCCCTCAGCTCCCGGAGGGATGGAGAGGAGAATCGAAAGAATGTAACTCCCACAGGTTGAGATAAGAACAGTTTAGTAACTAAGGTTATATTTAGGTATAACACAGATCACTACTGCTACCACCAATGATAATAATGATAAAGGAAATAACAAGGGAAGAGAATACAACTGCTCACCACCTGCTGACCGATACCCAGCCCGACAGAGCAGTGAGCCAGCCCTTCCAGGTAACTGCCCCCAGTTTATATAGTGGGCATGACGTGCTGTGTTATGGAATACCTCTTTGGCTAGTTTGGGTCAGGTGTCCTGTCTCTGCTTCCTCCTGGCTTCCCCTCCTCCCTGGCAGAGCATGAGATTCGCAAGGTCCTTGGTCAGACTAAACATTTGAGCAGTAACTAAAAACATCAGTGTTATCAGTGCTGTTCCCAGGCTGAAAGTCAAAAACACAGAGCTGCACCAGCTACTAAGGAGAAAAATGACTGCTACTGCTAAACCCAGACAAGTGCTTAAAACTTTGATGTGAGTAAGGTCCCAGGTTTGTGTTCAGATTTCATGTTCTCACCTTGGCAGTAGCTATTAAGCTTATCTGCCTCTCCTTATGGCGGTGGGCAGGGCAGGAAAGGGAAACAGTGCTGGTGGCTTCTTGAAGGAGATGGGAGAGAGGGAACAGGGCAAAGCAATTGCTTTCAGGAAAAAATGCACTTTCTCCTTTTCTCCCTCCTGTAGAAGTAGCAGACAGCTAAGCTTAGCAGAACAAAACCTGAACCCCTCTGTTCCTAAGATCATCCCTGTGCAGTTGGCTGGCTTAGTGCCAAGGAGTATGAAATACTTTGGCAGAGTCAATGCTGTATCTTTGGCATACATGTTTGTAAAACTAAGGTTACTGTTCTGATGGTTTCTCCTGGTGCTTTTAGCAGAGAATTAAGTTATTGAGTGATTTTTGCAAATGACAACATGAATATTATAAATACTCATTTACAATATTTACCTGCCTTCCCAGGTATGAAGACAAGTAACTTTACAAAGGATAAATGGAACTAGTAATTAGCACAGTGTGCAGTCAGGTGGAGGAATTAACTACAGCAGTAAGTCAGCAAGGTACAGAAAGTAGCTGGATCCCTAAAAAGCCTGAATATTTTCCTAGTCATGAAATCACTGATTATACGTTTTAAAGGAAAAGTAATGGTGTTCTAGTTCTCTTGCCATTGGCTAACTAACTTGTGTACTCCTGTGGGGCATCTTCCCTCCACCCATGTGATGTGTAGTGGATCATGTTTTCATGGCTAACCTTGTGGTTTTTAATCTTGCTTCCATGCACACTGCAGGGGATATAGCATATACTTCTCTCCTTTGATAGTAACTGTGTAGTCTCTGTGTCTGTGTGATGTCTGAGTCAAGCTGCTGCTCAGCTTTCATTTCCAAGTCATTTTCTTTGTAAGTTAAAGCTTTGTTTTTTCAGTTTCTCCCCCCCCCCCCCCCCCGAGTTCGAGAGCTGTTGGTGTTCAGGCATCATCCTTGCTTAAAGACTCCACAGGCCCTATTTTGTCACTGATGTATTTGCATGTCTGGCAGCCCATTTGTTTTCTAGGATTTTTGTTGTTTATAATTAAAACGGAATTTAGCAGTGCAGCTGCAGCCTGATTGCAGCTCTCTTAATGATCTCAAACGAAAACATAATCCTGCCTCATCTCCTGTAGTTGTGTTGACTCAGTGAGAAGGGGAGGAATCAAAAGAAGTAATAGTGCCTTTCACCTGTTCTGCCTACAAAACCATTGTTTGGAAGGGCAGAGTAGATGGTGGTTCTGAACGATGAAAATGAGCACAATTCTGAGGACAGAACTATGCTGTGAAGGTGTATAGCCAGTTTTTATTGATAATGCTACTTTTTTAATACTACCCTTTTGCTTTTTAAGGTATTTCCACTGGCGGCATCAAATAACTTACTTGGGGCTTGTGTGGAAGTAAGTGGTTGTATCTGAAAGAATTTACTTCTAATTTCAGAGCAAACTCCAAATAATGAAAGCTTTGCTTAGCGAGACGCATTCTACAGTGCAGGTGTTAGGCACTTAAATTTGGGCATTTTCTTCATGATGATGATGGGGAGATGTCACCCAGACTGGCTGCAGCTGGTAACAAAGCAGGAAGATAATGGCACATGAAAATGTTTTTGAATTTCTGATTGTATTGGAGTGGCCTGGCAACACAGCGCCGAAAGTAAGCAGCACCCGGTAAGCCCTCTGTGTTCTCTAATGGCATCTCTCTGTGCAGTGCTTTTCTTTCACTGTAAAGCTTTGCTTTCTGTCAGACAGTAAAACTTGTGATGCTCAGCTGAAAGGCAGTATTTTGTAAGTAGCCCCTCAAATGTGCATCACCCTGAGGAAGGATATTTGGTTTAGTTTCAGAATTATCTGTGTCCTGATAAGTCTAATCCTTTTGCCATTACTATTGGAATAGAATTTATGGCAAGGCAAACTTGTCTTACCTATCAAGAGAGGAGATTATAAAAGAGTTTATTTCAAAAGAAGCTGAACCACTTATTTTTATTTAACATCTCGTGAATAGTTCTGCACATTTTTGGAATAATTTCTTCCTGTGCTTACCACAATAACACATTTGGCTTTTGTTAAACTATTTTGCACCTTAGTTGTTTTGTCCTTAAAATTATTATGTGTTTTGTTTTTTGTTAATTCTGCATAAAGAAGCATTTGCAAGCACGTATAGTGAGCATTTCTAAAGACCATTCTTACAAAATAGCTGTTCAGTATGGAACAAAGCATGAACTAAGCTCATGTACATACAAAAGAACTGATAAATGGAAGATTATTTTATTACCAAATCTGCATTAGTTTCAGGGACTGGCCTGTAGGTCTTACAACAGAATTTGAGTATTGTTGGCTTGTTTTAAACTAGTCACTTTGCAGACCTCACCATTTTCCTGGGGTGGTCATGTGGGCCACTAGTGGAAGAAGGACAAAGATTCATAAGGTTCTGGGTAAATGCAGAAACTGCATTCCTCTGGGCTCTTGTGCAGGGCCATGCTCTGCAGTAATTCAGGACAGGTGTGGAAATTTAAGTCTGAGGTACATTCTTACAGGTAAAAAGCTTGGGCACAGTGGGAAAAGTACACTGCAGAATATCAGTGAATTGAATTTTGCACATGTAGGAGTTAATACACGGTTTGTGTATGTGCAAATGCTACCAAATGCTGTGATTGTTGTAATCTCCTGTTAATAAAGGGATTGACTTGCAGTTCAAAATGATTTGCATAATTCTGCATGCTATAGTGTTAATCCTTCCAAGGGGTTTAAAGCCTTCAGTGTTTTCTAGCCCTCAGTGCTTCCTTACTTGACTGCAGTACCTGCAGTACTTGTTTTTATGAAGTGTGAATTGTGGTACTCAAACATGAATAATGAATTACCCTGTACTGATGGGCCTGTAGATGACATGCATCAGGGAAATGTGAGGCTCAGCCTCAGCTAAACCTCTAGCCAAATACATCCAAACGGTAACAGAGTGGGTCTGGCAGTAGTGGGTCTGGCAGAGTGGGTCTGGCTGTAGTAGCAAATTTGGGTTGGAGAGAGAGGCACAGAGAAAGAAGATAGATAAAAGAATTATCTAATCTGGGAAGGTCTTAGTTCCTCAGGCAGCATAGCAAGCCACATACCCTATGAGCTTACAGGACTGCTTTAAAGGGCAGGAGGACTGCTTGCACTACAGATCTTCTAAGAGGCAAGTGGTGTTTCAGCATCCTTTGTGGGTACTCCTGGCCCCTTTCCACAGGAGAGATTCCAAAGAGGACTCTCGCTTGCTGCTCACGGTGTTCCCTGCCTTCCTGTGGGGTCCAGTGGAACACCTTAAGAGTTTGAAAAGCTTAAAAATCTTAGCTAAAAGCTTTCCTCTTCACCTTGAGTTGTGCTACATCTGAAGTGAACCAGCTGAAAGACAAGAGGAAGTAATCCAGCTGACTAGATGCCTCCCCCTTTCCTGTTAGGTGAAAAATGATTTTTCGGAAAATCTTGTACTGGATACTGCATCCATCCTATGCATTTTTGCATTTTAGTTAGCCTAATTTTTAATCAAAAGCTATGTTGGCAGAATTTTTTTCAATGATGCAATGGAAGTAGCAGAGATGAAATATCGGACATGCTATTGGTCCTGTTACCTTTAAGCAAGGGTCTGTACCTGTAGTGTGTCCCATCGGTATTACCCGAATAGCATGAATCCTGCTGTGCGCATCTTTCTAATTGCTAAGCTGACATTTCAAAGCAGGAGAAAAGTGAGCTTTTGTCCTTCAGAGGTAAGCCTGTGAACCCTGGGTCTAGACAAGTTGGAAAGAATGTAGCTGTGGGGACACATGGGCTGCTTTAAAATGAATGGATTTATTACACAATTTGCTAGTGTGGGGACATTTGCCTTTATCTAATACCACTGTGTATATGTATGTATATATTTTTAGTGGAAAAATGTTTATCTCTGTGTGCTGTTTAGGATTTCTCAGTCAAACAGAAGTACTTAAGATTAAGCAAGTCCTTAATATTTAATAAGCTTCTATTGTTAGAGAGCAAGTGAGCCTGCCAGTGTGAGATTGGCTGGCAGCTCAGTGGATTAATGAAAACATAGAGCTGGATTTAAAAGCCCAGAATGACAATCTTTAAATATGCTAGGCATTGTGGTTGTGCAATTTCCCTGGGGAATCATACTGTCTGCTTCAAAAATTGCACTGAAGACATAACTGAAACTATAGTGCATTCTTGCCTACTGCAAATCTACTTTCATTCCTGGGGCTAAAATTCCTTGTGTGTACATCTGTACACTCATTCTTGGTGGGTTTTCATTTCTTATTATATTGTAGCCACAGGAACAATTTTACACAGACCTGAAAAACAAGAGTTGCAGAGCTGAGCAACTTTCCTGCCTGAACAGAGATCTTGCTTAGGCTTTCAAGCAAGCAAATGTGTCGATTTGAAAATACTGAAGTGAAAATTAAGTTGAGGCTTCTGATGTGCGCTCTCCACAAGGCAGACAGAGGAAATTTGAAAAAGACTGGCTTTTTTGAGACTCCTTTCTGAAATTCTGTGGTGCTTCTGGTTCAGGATGATAGAGATCTGAGTAGTCCTAGTGCAATGATAGTGTAGACATCATGTGATACGTTCTGGGGTGTCTTCAGGCAAATGGAAAGGCTTGAAAATGTTTTCATTATTGGAGATTGCTTTTTTTATTTATATCAGAACTTAGAAGTATGAAAGGTGTCTGGACTTTGAGTTGTTTTACTCGAATGTGTGTACACATTTCTGGGAATTATCTCAATTTCAGTTTAATTTGCAACTTTATATTAGGAAGCTCCCAGGGAATCTTTAATTTTCAGTGAAAACCCACTAAATTAAAATGAAAATGAAACAAGCTTTCATTGTCAGCACTGAGAATGGCAGTGTTTTCATGAATTTCTGTTTATATTTCATCAGAGCTGCTTGTGCAAATAAGGCACCAGTTGTTGGGTACTAGATCTGGTAGTGTAGCTGAACACCTTTATGTTCTGTGTAATTGCATTGATGTTCTGCACCTCAGTGAAAAACTGATGAAGTTTTTCACTTGCAGGAGGTGCTCCATATGACCACTGTCGCATTAGCTGCAACATGCCGAGTTCTCTCAAATGTCACAGAATTTTCAGTAACTTTTAAATTACACATAAATTCACCCCCACTGCTCTCTGTCTCCTGTGAGGGTGAAAGTACTGAAGGTTGGAGGATGTAAGAGAAATCGTTTGTGTACTGCTTGTAACTGTCTTCTGAGTATTCCAGTGTCCTTCAGTATCTCTGTGAACCTGCAGCACTTAGAAGGGGAGTAGATGGGATTGCAGTCTGGAGAGGGCAGGATGAAAGCAGGGTCAAGGAAAAAGAGGTAAACAGATTGCACTGAACATGTATATGCCTATCTTTAATCTTGTATACACTAGATGGGGTTGGTGATAATCCCCTCACCCCCTTCTCCTGGTGACAGTATCCGCTGCAGTTTCTCTGGTAGGAAGTTACCTGTATGGCTGCTGAGGGTAGTAAGATGAAGACTATTTTGAAGGGCTGGACTGACTGCCCTGGCTGTGGGCATCACAGCTTTTATCATACAGATCTGAATCACAGCATGCTACAGGGAAGGGCTGCTGTAGTGCTAGAAGTGAGGGAACCACCATCTACACAGGACTCACTCCCCACCCCTCTCCCATGCTATTAAAACACAGGGACAGTTTATAGAGAAAATTTATACACACTGAAGCCTTGATTCATTTCAGGGAGTGTCTTCCTAAAAGAACACTGTGTCTGTTGTGAATGAGCTGACACATATTTCATGGTATGCTACTGCTGTATTTTTGTACTTTACAGTGGGGAAAAAGTCTGCTCAGGTGCTGTTTGCCCAGGTCTCTTGTCCATTTCCAGCATTCTCCCATATTTTTCATCTATGTTTTTTTATACCTTTTTTAATTTTGCTTTTCTTAACCACTTTCCTACTGCAGAATTCTGGATAAACTGGAGTCCTTTGTCATCCATAGAAAGATTGCTTGCATTGGAATATACTAGTTCTGAGAAGAACATACGTACATAGATTTTTGAATGTACGTCAATTCTTGATTCCATCAGGAACAAGAGAGTGTGATTTTCAGCAAGCTTTTAATTGTGCCAGTTTCTCAAGTGATAATTCTTCTTTTAAACCTGTGAACACTTATTTCAAAGGACCTTTTGAAAATGAAGACTGTACTGTGTCAGGGCAACCAGCTGTGGTGCAGAGCTGGATACAAGAAGGTGTTTAATAGGGAAGAACTTTCATGCACGGACTTCACAGGAAGGAGATTTAAAACTTAAAACTTCAATTTTTATTAGCGCCACATATAAAGCAAGTTCCATGACAACAAGCTGTACTTCCAAGCTGGTGAGTTATTTTGTTTAGGGGAAGTGAGTTGGTAATTATATGACACATCAATTCATTCCATGTATTCTCTTGTGTTAGCATTTGCAAATCCATAATTCCTTCAGTTGTGCACAGGTCTGAGTTCACAATTTCTGTTCTTCCCTCTAAAGTAGGAGTATTTTCAACCATGAGGTTTTGAGACATCTCTGTTGTTAAGAACAAGTAGCATAGCTTAGCTGCTGACCAGGGGGAATAGTCAAAGCACCTCTGGCTTCTAGGGGAACTATTCCTGTTTCTCTTTCCAACATATCTGTGTGTCAGGTTTCTGCAGCTGAGCTTGCAGCATGAAGAATTTTCTCAAGTACCTGCGTTTGTAGCTCCATGCAGCCTCATACCAAGGTGACTTTCAAATGAAATTAATACAGGTGCAAAGAGAGTGGCTGTTGGTGGGGAGGGATGAGGGCTGTGTGGTGCTCTGAGGATCAGAAAGGAGCTTTTAGTGACTGTGACTTTCATAAGCGATCTGGTAAAGGCTCACAGAGTGAGAGGAGGGGTTCTAAGAAAGCACTAGAAGCAGCATCCTGGTGAAGTGCTCTTTTCCTGGAGTACTTGCAAATGCTTCATCATAATTGAGTTTGTAAACAGCTGTAACTCCCTTGGGGGGGAGGGTCTAATTCCTTGAGAAATAAGAGCCTGAGAATGAAAAAACTAAGAACTGACAACCCTTCCTGCCCTCCCCCCCCCCAAGCTGTTTTTTTGGGTGTGTTTTTTTTTGTTTGTGGGTTTTTTTTGTGGATGTTTTCTCAGTCAGGCTGTCACAGGACAAAATTTCTAGGCTGAGGCATTTTTAGCTCAATATTCTATGTGCTTATTATCCAAGCTGAGATATCAGAATCAGTTAATTGCATCTGCGGATGACGCAGTAACACTGAACAAGTTTCAAAGGTAAATTGGGTTAAAGGAAAAAAACAAATCATCCCTGCAGCATTAGTTGCTGGAGAATGCTGAACTAGTGACAGTCCTGCTTGAGAGCAGAGCTCATCTAGCCATCCGCAGGCTTGCCTCTGGGGACTGCAAAAACAGTTCAGATTTAGGTATTAGTTAGGTCCATAACTAGGCTGACATGAATTACTTGGTTGTATCACTTATCTCTGCTATGTAGGGACAGTAGTCTCCTTAACTCAGAATCAAACTTGAACTTTATAAAGACATGTGAGGTATCTATCTTTGGGCACTTGAAGTTAGAAAATACAAATAACATAATCCCCTCCGCATTTGGCAGAAGGGTCCTTGATTAACCACATACCCTTGAATGCAGAACAGCAGATTTAAATGGTACAGTAGAGGTGGAAGGGATGGAGCAGCAATGAGCTTAAGCTTCATATCCATGGAAAGGAATTTATGGAGAAGGGAAATGATGAGGTGCATCTGAATAGACTTTCACAAACCAGTTCCTGAAATACCTTTATTTCTATAGTAAGTCTTAGTATCTTCAGGATGAATGCCTCGCACCTGAAACTCATCACTGTGTTCATATGGAAAAATAAACACATAAACAATACCCATTAACGGGTTGGGTTTGTTTTTGTTTTTTGATGCTGTACTTCGTTTTATATAGATTTATATAGTTTTATTTTGTTGGCTGTGATTTGAATCATATTCTGTAACAGCAGTGCCAGGGGAGTGTTAGAGGAGGCTTATAGTGGGTAAGGACCCCATCCTTTTAAGTTATTCCCAGAAATACAGGGAAGTCTCTGTGAAACAACTCTGTAGCAACAAAATGTTCTGCCTAAACAATTTCTTCATAAAAGATACTAGGGAGTTGTTTGAGAAACCAGTTTAACCCCTCAGCCATTTCTTCATTAAAAATCCATGCACTACAAGATGACTTCCAGGCCCTCTGTGTAGCTGTCTGACATGCACTGGTGGAGATTTGGTAGTGAATGCTTTCTGTCTGGCTGATGGAGGGAAGAGTGTAAACTAACCTGTTCTTCCAGGTCAACAAACCCCATTACTCCTAGTGAACAGAATAACATACAGTATTTCTATGGGGAAATGTTTTTACTGGGAGGAGGGAGAGAGAAGCAAGGCCTAGGGTAAAATGACCTACATAGGCAGCTGATGGAATTTCAGAAAAACAGCCTTTTCAAATTGCACTCACTGGGTGAGTTAATCATGATAGAGTCATTATTTGTGATTTTTAGCACACGGGAAGGTAAGAAACACAGGGTTCTGCATTTTGCGCTCTGATGCATTAAGACAGAAATTTGGGTGAGGTTTCTTAGGTTACCCTTGAGTCTTTTTAAAAATTATCGTCATGCAGACAGAAAGTGCTTTGTATTACTCAGCCAGTATAATTAGCTAAGCCTGATATACCCAGGTTGTGTTAAGTACGTCTGAGAAAAATAGCAGGATGTCAGATGAAATACTAGCCTAGTTGTTAATTAAAATAGAAACACCTCTGTCTGTGCCAACATGTAGACCAAAAAGCAAAGACAACTGAACTAGGATAGATGCTGGGGGAAGGTACGCTGGGCTCGGGGCTTGGAAACAATGGGATCTTTAAAATCAATAGCATACTCTATTGCCCAGGCTTAAGCTTTAGTGGAAAGAAAAATTAGGCTGTAAAGGTAATACAGCTGCTCTATGCCGGTATATTTCTGCAAGAATCATTAAGCTAGCATTCCTGAAGTATAAGAACCAATGGTGAATACATCAAATTGAAAAGCAACATGTTAAAATCCATATTAGAAATGCTTCATGATGAAATTGTAAAGTCCACTGCTACAGTGTTAGACTGAAATGGAAAGGTTCACAGAATCAGAAAGGGATTAAAGATAGATAGGGTTAATGAGAGCATCTAATGGTACACAATGGGATGAAGAAAAATCAAGTAATATAAATGTGCCTAGTGAATTGAGGGAGGTGTAAGAAACTTCCACCAAAGGTTGGGGTTATCCTTTATTAGGTTTCCTGCAACAACCTCTAAAATTTCTGGGTCTTCACTTTCAGGCTGCTTCTACCCTCACACTTTCAGTAATATGCCTGTGGTGGTGGTCAGAATGTGCCCAGTTTACAGGCAAATTCACTTGCAAAGCTGTTTGACCAGGAGGGAGCAATAAATTGTATTGAAAAATGTAGCGTTAGACATGACATCACACAAGATACCTGACAAATCAGACCTGATCTGACATAGTAGGAACCTAGCGGTTCCATTTGAACGCAGTCTGGTGTTAATTTTCTCAGCTGTTTCTATGCACTTTCTGATTCTAAGCAGCTACCTCAGGAAGAGAGAAGTCTGAAGTTCAGAGCTTAAACCACGACACAAAATTAGTGGCAAGTTTTAAACTGAAGGTTATTAGTTTCACTGTAAACCTGATCTCCCAGTATTTTCTAAACTGTTACCAACTGCCACATCATTTCGGGTTTCCCTAAAGAGGAAACAGAAAGGAGTGTAAATTTACCTGGGAATGGGTAAGCCACTTAAATACTTATTTTTTGTTATTATTATTTAAGGATGGGTTGGCCAAATCAAAGGGAGGTAATGATAAATTAGAAAAAAGCAATATGCTGTCTTTATTTTTGTTTAATTGTGTTCACTGTGTGTGTGTGCGCTTGCACACACATCTTTGGGTATGTATATACTCACTGTATAGCTTGTAGTATAGTTGATTATAAAGAATACAAAAGACGTTCTGTTGTAAACTTTAAATAATATTTAATAACTTTTAAAAAATAAAATGTATATTTTAAATGTTGTTCTTAATATGAATGCACAAAACTGTATCATTGTAGTTGCAGCGACAAAATGCAAAGAACTGAGGAGCCCTGCCCGCTGTGGTGACAATCTAGGAGAATTCACAACAGAATCCAAACAAAATTTCCCATGGCAAGTCCTGACTTGTTTCCTTCTGTGAATTGTCTAACTCAGTATGTATGACATTCATGTTTCGCAAGAATCCTTGCAGACAAAGTTAATAAAGTTAATAAATGCCACAATCAACTGCTGGTTTCTGTTGCTTACCTTTGGTGCCACATTTATAGCACAAGAATGAAGCTAAGGGGTAAGTGAAAGGCTTCAACTTTCTCCATGCCAACCACCTCCTTCCCTATCTATGAATGGGAAGTGGCAGCCAGGAGTCACATATACCAAAAGATGTAAAAGATGTGACAGATTCATAGGTATTGTGAGAAGTGAGGGCTTTGCATGGATTCACGTAGCAGCCGTACTGCTGGTGCAAGATAAACATTTTTTTGAAGCTTCTGTGCAGTTTCTTCCACTCTGAATTATAAATCATACAATGCTGCATTTAAATGGTAATTATTAAATGGTAGAATAAACCTTCATAAGTTTAGATTATTTGAGGGAGAGGAACAAAGAAGTATTCATAGAACAGAAAATGGAGTGAATTTCAGTGATTGTGCACTGTAAGATCTGGAGCTAAATAATTCATTTGTACAAGCGATAAGATTTGGCTGCTACCAACAGTTACCATAAAGGAAATTAAAGCATATTCTACTAAATGTATATATGTATATGTATTACCATAATTGTGAAGGCAATAAGCCAAAAATATATTGGACTGAATCTAAAAGCTAAATTCTGATGTTGCTCTATTCAGTAGGTCCAGCCATGCACACTGTGTCTTCACATCTTGTTATTAAGCAGAAAGAGCAAGGAGTATTACTTAGGAGTGCTCTCCTTCAATGTCTTTGTTGCCTTTGGTTCTTTCATTTAAATGTACTGAGTCCTCCTTCATGTTTAAAGATAAGAAGTGGAAATAACATAAAACACTTTACTAAAAGTGACAAGACACTAATGGAAGCAATTGGAATGACTTCGGTGTTGCTGTGCATTACATACAGTATAAGCAGCCTTTTGAATGGGTATTATGTATTACAGGGTATTTAGTTATAATGAACCAGTTCAACATGAAGTTTTATGCATAATATGGAACTATCTTGTTTGGTTTTAAAAAAAGATTGTTGCTGTTACATATTCCAAAATGTTCTGACCCTGTCAGCAAAGCAAAGCTACAATGCTTTTAAAAATCAAAATATGGTAAATCTGAAGCTTGTTATGTGCAGTATGTTCCCAGGTTTGAAGTTGGATTGTGCTGTAAGCACCATAACGTTTGTTTGGCCTGGGTGAAGAGAGATAATAACATTAAATATAGAAAATAGGCCAGTTCAAATTATAAACAATTTGCAGTAGCATCTCAGTTGGCAGTGTCAGTTGGTAGTGTTTAAAAAATGAATTATTAGCAGCAATGTGTGATCTGAGTTTTTTTCCTTTCTTTTCAGCAGTTAGTGCCATGTTTCTGCTGCAGTGACTGCAATTTACAAAGTGAGTGTTGCTTTTACTGCCTATAGATACATGTTTTTGAAAACCAAGGTAGTATATTTTATAAAGACGCCTGAACTGTGGAAAATTATTAGAGGGAACCACAAAGCGTGACTTGTCTTCAGTCTCTGGTTCTCGTTTCTTCTGTAGGTTTACCTGAAGCCTGGCAGTCTAAGACCTCAGCACAAATTACTGGGAGACTCACAGGATGAGGCGTTATGATCTCTCTCTTCCCTACACCACCATCAGGCAAATTGACAAGAGTTACCCTCTGTGGCAGCTCTGCTGCACAATGGTTTGCTCTTCTCAACTGAGCCATCATCAGCCTCCTGTCTCTTAATTTTTAATGGCAGGGATCACTACAAATAGACTTTTCTACCTTTTATCTTTCTTAAAAACCAATGTTTTATTAACACATTTATCACTCTGTTGTGCTGTTTTTCAGTGGGGAAAACTGAGCTGTCAGCAGGAGCACTTGTGTGTATGAACTTTAAACTATGGCAAGAACTAATGATGCATCTAACCTGGAATCGTGTCCATGCAGGTAAGAAAGGAACAGAGTGGGAGAGAGGGAAGGATCGAACTTACAGCATCTTTCAAAGAGCAGGCCTGTTCACAGGTCAGCCTGGGCTCAGAAAGCAGAGAGCATTGAGACTATGGTGGCTGTAATGCCAAGAGTAGGTCTCCTGTGTTGACGTACAGGGTGCCTGTGTGTGGCCTACTCAGTTTAACCTTTGTCTCGGATTGAGGTGCATTAATATTTCTCAAGGCTTATGAACATGTCAGTAAAATCCTTTAGTGGTGGTGAGGTAGCTGTGATAGTGAGTGATTGTTAAGCCACATAAAACACATACAAGTAATGCATTACTTTCAGGTCAGCCTGCACAGCTAAATGCCTGATGCTACAGATAGGCACCATGCATAAAGGTGGAGGGTAACGATCTTGGAAGATACTTGCTGTTTCACACACCAGACTCTCCAAAGCACTTTCCCACAAAACATTGAGTAGTTCATGCCTGAGGGTGAAAACACTGCAGGAAATCAGCAAAGAGGAAAAAAATATCCCAAAACTTAAGCAGTGAGAGTAGTATTTGTCAATGTTGCAGGTCCAGGAAAGATTTAGTTACAGGTGTCATGGAGAATAGTCTGGGCCTTTGCAAGTTCAGCTTACTGCTGGAAATTGCCTTTAAATCAAAGGAAGCAAAATGTTACTCACAGCTGAGACCTGCAGTTGTAAGCACTAAAGGTACAGGGTAACTTTGTTTTTCCTAAATTTGATGGATGCTTCTAGTCTGTCACAGTAGGAATGGCTGTACTGAGCTTTCTGGGAAGACAGGGCACCATGATTGTCTCTCTGGTCTGTTGTCAATGGCCGAATGGTCCTTGGAGGCTGGCTGCAAGGAGTGGGCCAGTTGCATTCCTCTGTTTGCCTGTTCCCTGCTGTGCTCCTTCCCTGAGTGCTTAGCATCAACCTGTGTATTATCTGGGGTTGCTTGCTGATGGGGAGTTATGTGTTTGAACAACAGGAAACATCTGATTCTTAACCTCATCACTACAAGGTGTGCACATAAGGGTACTACATAAATTACTTCAGTTACCAATGGGTGGGGAAATTGGACAATTGGTGGCTGTTTCCTGGCTAAGGAAAGTTATGATTTCAATTTCTGCAAGTTCCAGAAAATGTGGGGTAAATTCTAGCCAACAGTCAGGCAGAGGGAGATGGGTCTGAAAAACAGAACTGAGAGGTGACCCCAGTTCCAACAGAGACTGATGTGTCTTGGCTGTTGCAAGCATGCAGCTGAGGGGGAAAAAAATTCCTCAGCATAAAAACATCTGTAGTTTTAATAACTCTCAAAAATGAGCAATGTGCAAAAAGATTTTTCTTCAGCAAGGCAAACTCTGTCATACCTGCAGATGATGATATCCCAAAATAAATTAATGAAATGGTGACGTTCAGGGAAGGAGCAGCTGACAGCTTTGTATGGATCTTCAAGTGTGGAAATGAGTGATATTTTCTGGCAGACTAACTTGCAACAGGGATGATAAAAAATAAAACCATAGTAGAATGACAGAGCCCACTCACAAGTTGTTTACTGAAATGAAGATACAGCTGAAAGTAATTACTTGTTTCCCAGAGGTATAAGTGATAGTGCCTCCTACAAGAAATAATAGTCAGTTATTTCAGTTGGAATGTAAAATGGGATAGAAAGGTTTCCTCTTTCTGAGGTTAGATGCTGGGTATTTTTACCTCCTTTCAGAACATATATATATATGAATGTAATATATATTACATATACAGTCAACCATCTATATGCCACTGGCGATTAATAAGTGAGATAATGTCCAATATTGTTTTCCCTTAACAGCCAGATCTCACTGTACAGATCCTGATTAAAAGCCCAACTTTGCAGCACAAAAGATTAAAAATACTCCTTTAAAATAACATATTTCTGAAGATGATCCTCTCCTGGCTACAAAATCATCTTGAGAAACTTGGAGGCAGGGCTGCTTGATCTTGACGTTTTAGCTGTATGCAATCTGTAGTAAAATTACAATTGCATTCTGTGCTAGCTACTTGTACCTTCTTGCTGAAGAACACTCATTTTCTATGCCCTTTCTTCCAGACCATGGGATGTGGGAAAACAACCTGGAGGGTTTCACAGAGGTTGCCTTACTGAAATCTTCCTACCATGGGTTTGCAGATCAGCCCCTCATAAGAAGCCTCCTTTGCCTTGCCACAGGCCATGGAAAAGAAACCATTGCTCCTGGGAGTTTTCTTCTGTTTAAAGACAAGGCTCCTTCTTACCTGCACCAGTTCAAGTACTGACTTTTTCTTTTCTTCGTCCTTCAGTGAAGTGGGATGATTCACAAAATCTTCAGAAAGATAGCATTATACACAGTTTATAGTACAAAGGGGGGGGGGGGGGGGGGGGAAGGTCAGATAGATGAGCATGAAGGAGATTTCTCCTGTGTCCTTTGGAGGAGGAGCAGAAAGGGTGGAAACGGCATCTATGCACAGTAGGTGTCTGCCTTGACCACCTGACAATACATGGTCATTGCAAAGGTGAGTCCAAGAATCTAAGAGAAAAAAAAAACACAGTTGTTTTTCAGTAAGCAAAAACCCCACCACTATTTATTGAAATGGAAAAAAAAAGGGAGAGGCAAATGTGCCTACACTGGCTTTGTTCACACACAGGCAGACACATCACATACTGCTTTTCCTACCAGTTCATGTCCTTTGTTCTCTTCCTAGTTTCTGTCTGCCTTTTGTCCTTACCTGTATTGCTGGTTTACAGAATGAACAATGAAAGCATGGGAGAGCTGTTTTCTCCATGAACAGCAGCCTCCAGTTACTGGGAAGAGAGGTATATTGAAAAGAACTGTTTGGATGACTTTCCCTCAAAATTATTTTATAATAGCAACCCACAGCTGTGGGGCTGTGTGGTTATCTCTGTAGCTATTGCTTTGAAAGACAATGAGATTCATTCCTGACCCAAAGGATGCTGTGGTTTACTGTACTTTTCCAAGTGTATGTGTGCATAGGTCTCTATGGGGAAATCACTGGAGACTGTCCATGCATTAATCATAACCATCAATGCCTCATCAACAATGTATGTGTCTTTTTCTATTAAGCCTATTCAAGAGAAGCAGCAGGGAGGTAGTAGTTCTTCTCCGAGCCCAAATGCTGACCTGCTGTGCCACCTCTGGTAGATTACTTCATCAGAAATGGATGTGGAATAGTGTCATATATTCCTTTCAGTTGAAGCATTTATGTGAATGTACTAAGTAGTTTTTACTATTCTTTTGCAACCCCACTATAAAAAATTGTCATTGAAATAAAGGTTTGCCAGGGGATGTTTTTTCTATGAATTGTATTTTAAGCATTTAATTTGACCACTTCAGATTTAGTCTTTGTATAAATTGTAGTACCTCTTAATGAGTATTTTGAAAGAGTACATGAATAACACACATACTACTTTATAAATAAAGAAATGGTAATAAAGCTGTTAACCACCTTCACTTCCCTTTCTTCCACAGTGAAATGAGACTGCTAGGCTTTAGAGTGCTGTTTTATAGTAACCACATGCCTTTTGAGGATATTCCCTGCGTATTGCCTTCTACTTCCTAGCAAAGGAACACCTTCAATGACAGATGCGTAATAAAACCTTGGTGGCTGAATTTGTTTTATGGGTTCAAGCATGCATGACTAAAGAAGATTCTTCCGTCATGTGTGCTGTATGTCCTCCAAGTTGTCACTGGGTATAATTCTAACTCTTAACATGAAAAACAAAAGCTGTCACATGCTTGGGGCCAGAACATCAGTGTAACATCAACAACAGAGGGAGCCCAATTCATTTTAGATGACAGTGCATCAAAACTTTTGTCATCAGTTAGATTTGATCACATAGTTAAAAGACAGGCTAAAAATCTATAGTGTTCTAAGGTGTTTTCTCTGTACTTCCCAGCATATTCTAGGAATATAAATTAGCATTTTAAAATTATTTGAAGTGTTTTCTCCTGTGCAAACTAGTGATGGCTTTCTGTCAAAATTCTGTATTCTCTTAAATTAACCTAAATATAATCAAAGTCAATGAGAAGGCTGACATAGGCTGCTGGGCCTTTAATATATCTTTTAAAGACTCCCTAAATGCTGGATAGATGCTCAACAGCTGTTTCTTAAAGTATGGTAATATATTAACAACAGTCTTACATTGTCTCTCTGCCACATGATCTTGTTGTGCTTATCTGTTTTTGTAAGCATACCTGCTTACTGTACTGGAAAACAAAACTCAAAACTACTGAATTTGAGCCTATGAGGAGTCAGGTGTTTGCATTAATAAGTTGTAGCCAATATATGACACATGAAAGAGTAAGATATATGCCATTTTGCCTCATCTGACATTATTGGGAACAAGTGGCATTTTGATCCCAGGCTCTCCCTTGTTGCTGCTAGTGATATACCACACAAAATTACACACGCACAAAACCCCCATGTTCACCTGGAATTACAGGATATTAATTAGCTTAGCAATGCCATCCTTCCTTTCTGCTTATGCATTGAGTGTGAGGGAGGCGGAGCCAGAAACTAAAGCCCCGTCTTCACTGCATTCAGGAATGGGACCTTGGGCACATAAATGCAAGGCTGATGTACAGCCTGAGCTCCAGCACAGCTTTCACCTGTGTACCCTCAGGCTAAGGTTTGTGCCACTGGGGCTGCACAATGTCCGCAACCATGGCAAGCTGGTATAAAGACACGGGTACGTAAGAGTACGAGACAAGGTACTACACTGACTCATAACTGATTCTTCTCTGATCAAAGTTATGCTGGAAATAACTGCAGGTCAAAAATCTGATGGGCAAGGCTATGCCCATCTTACCTACCCCATTTCCCTGCAATTAATAGAAAAGGAAGATGTTTCTATTGGCAAGATTGAGTAATAGTACCAGCATCGCAGCTTGTAACTCACCCTAAGACTGAGAATGGGGTTGAAGACTTAAGTCTATTTTCAGGCTCTCTTAAAGGTAGATATTTAGCCTAAGTGGATGGTCCCCTCTGGAGAATTACTGGACAAATACAGGTACCCTAAAAGGCAATTCACCCTACTCTGACTACACGTCTGTCTTTGGAAGGCAGGGACTATCTCTCCACTGAATCTAGCCTAAGCTTTAGATAAACCACTTGGTAAAGTGTCTGCTTTTTGTAAGTTTCTCATAAAGCAGAAAATGTGTGCAGTATTCCTAGTTCTGTACTTTGCGCACAGTATTTTAGCTAAATTAAAACATAAAAGACCTAAATCTTGCAGAGTTTTACAGTAGTATTATGCAAAATTTGGAATTACTAAATCAGGCTTGGGCAGAGTATACCAATCTTTAGTTACAGTTAACTAGGATTTGAAATCTGACTGATATTAAACTGTACCTGTACCATAGCTGTGCACAATCCAAAGATACCCACTGCTAGTAAGTTTTCCTGGAGCCATATTTTCACTGTTTCGTAGCATGGCTGGAAAAAAACAAAACACAAAAGAATATTGTATTAGCCATAAATGCACAGTTCTACTCTCCTGGGAATACAGCCAGGAAAGAGCCAGATCAGACTAAGCTGCTAGGTAGGTCTGGGTTATCATTTTGGTGTTGGAGCAACTACCATGTATTTCTGGGTTGAGTTTGGATATAGAGTACTCATTCTAATGACATAAAAAAGTGCACCTCTAAAATGCCGCATGAGCACTGCTCTGTATAAATTAGGCCAGTAATTAAAAAAAAACAAACAAACAACCAAGCAGTGGATTTGAGCCCACTTTGCCCTCTAAAAACCAACCAGAAGCAGTAGAACTTCAGAATGAGCCTTTCAGTTTCTCCATGTTTCAGAAAAACAGAATTTTCTATAGATATGTGTATAATCAAGTGAGAGCTTGATACTGCTGCTGCACACAGGCCCATTTTGTACAATTTCCTATAATTTCAAATTGCAGTATGGGCTCTCCTCGAGTATTTCTTCCTGCTTTAAATTCTGCAGTAACTGTAACCTCATGTTCCTGGCCCAGTTTTGGGGAGGGTTGACTTGATCCAAGTGAAACCTTTCTTTAAATAATGTGTAAAGAACAAATAATATCTGTAAGACAACCTTGTACAAGAATTGTGCCCTCTGTCTTGTAAATGTACATGGCCAAGAATCATTCAGACTTAAGTTAGTGGCTTTAACATACGTATATGCTAAAGGAAAACTTATTAATGCTCCCCAGAAGACATGGTGTTGACCTGCACTGATCATCTTCATACCCCAAATAAAATAGAAGAATTTTTTAAGTTCTTAAATTAAAAATATAACCTGGATCTATGTAAGAGGTAGAAGGGAGCCCTGTTTGGTTGGAAGTAAGCCTGTGCCAGTGAAAATCCATATATATGAAATCTCTAGAAAGTGGCCAAGAAAGCTTTACTCATCTTCTTCACAAACCTTTAGAACCAGCAAAACTTCCTTATAATTTCACTTCATCAGATGGCCTTACTCCACACCCCTCCTGGGTAATTGCACTACATGTAATTAGCACAAAGAATTGCTGAGCTAATTTCAGAGAAGAATTTAGGCTCTATCTGCTATGGAAGAATTTTGCTGAAGACATTGTACAGAAATTATCCCATGGAGTATCGAATTTGATTACAGGCAAGTGCAGAAACTCACTGTAAAAAAGAGTGCTGCTGGCAATTCAGTGACACAATTCCCTCCTGCCTGCTGTGCAGTGGAAGCCCCTGAACTGGGGTTCCTGGCAGGAGCAGAGCACTGCAGGGTCACAGAGTCCTCTTGCCTCCCTACTGCCTGGGCCATGATAAGCTGTGGCTGCAGCTCCAGGGCTTGTGCTCTGCATGTGTGGATGAGCCATTTGCCTTTATCTCTGCCTGATTCCAGTAGATGGGACATTAAAAAGGACAATCCTGTAATTTACTAGCTAGATCTGCTAGACTGTGCTTGTGATCACTGTTGGCAGGTCCAAGTCTGTGATGTGAAACAACAGCTTAGAGCCTACTGAAAGGAAAGCCTGTGAAAGTAATTAAATCAGTTTCATTGGAGGTCAAAAGCCGCAGCTCAACATAAGCCTTCTGAAAGCACTTGATTAAAGATGAGGAAGGGTACATCATACCTTACCATCTGTTTAGCCCTGCAAATGCCCAGGTGCCTGCCCTTTACCTGGGTTGCAAGGCAGCTGCTGAGCTGCTGCTGGAGAGTTACTCACCGCTTTCCACCAGGTCCCTGGGGAGTGGAGCCCACAGTTCTCACTGAATTCTAAGCAGCAGGAGTCCGGCACCCGGGTTGTGTTGTACACTTCAAACCAGTCAGTGTAGTTGGAGACTCCACAGCATCTGAACTGGAAAAAGAAGAACCAAGATGATATTGTAAATATGATCTGGAGTTGGATGTTCAG